AAATCCTATCCTATATGGCACACCAATGAAACTAGTAAGTAAAGATGAAATATAAAATGCAAACCATTGCTACTATTGGAAATGAGAGAATATGTGTACACAACCTATATATAGTAAAATAAAGAGAATATTACTGTTTTCACAATAAATTGGAGGATTTAATATAATGGCGAATAATTGAAAGGCACAGCTACCAAAGGTCATTGAAGAAGTAACTCTCTTGAATAGCTGTGTTAAACAAACTGTAATTGTAGTTAATAATTTCTGCACAATGAAAACTCAGGACATTGGTGAATACTATCAACCACTTACAGAACTAGTATTGAATTAAATTGCTGACAAACTTCTAAAATATCAGATAGGACACTCACAAATTCATGTATAAAGTGAACATAATCTAGATGCTCAAAACAGATATAAGAAAATAAAACAAAAACCCAACACCCTCCATAAGCACAATTCCTAACAGAATTTTATTAAGTCTATTCCACCAATATTCAAAACTACAATATTACATACACATGTAGAAATGGTCACAAAATGCAACTTGGTCTAACATTAATATATCAACTGAACTCACCTAATTACATAAAGCTACTTGCTTTATCCAAAATCCACTTATCATAAAAATTTCTCAGCAAACTAATAACAGAAGGGATCTTCATCAAGTTTATTAAGGAAATAATTGAAACATTTAGTGCTTACATTACATTAGGATGGGGGAGACCGATACGTATTTCCTTAAGTTCAGGAACAATATAAGGATACCCACCCTTATCAAACCAATATCATATGAAGCAATGTCAGAAGTAAGTCTATCAGACTGAATAGAAATAGTCTATTTATCACCAACTTGATTGTCTATGTAGGCAAATTCCGAGTGGTCAACAAAAAAGCCTCCAGAACAGTGTATTTCTCAAAGGAAGTTTCATGTTATATGTGAATATATAAAAAGTAATTTTTGTATGTATGCTGTTCTGGATTGTATTATGTCTTCTCCCAGCTCATATGAGGCATCCCTACTCTACAATGTGACTGCACTTGGAGATGGGGACTTTAGGGGTTATTACAGGTTAAGCGGTGTCATAAAGTTTGCCCCCTTTTCAATGGGACCAATGTCCTTATAAGAAGAGGAAATGACAGAGACCCTTCTCTTCTGTCACACAGGCACACAAAGTATGCCAAGGAAAAGCCATGTGAGGTCACAGAAAGAAGCTGGCTATCTTCTAGACTGGAAGAAAAACCTCAGTAGGTACTAACCCTGCCTGTATCTTTAGCTTGCAAAACTATCCTCTAGAACCGTGAGAAAATAAATTTCTATTGTTTAAGCCACTCAGTACACGTTATCTTATTATGGTAGTCTGAGCCAATTAATATACTAGCTACTCATAATGGGAATTAAAATAAAAATAATACCACTACTGTAGTACCAACAATATGAAATACCTTGAAATAAGGAAATGAGTGTACCATTCATACATATATACATACATTTATCTATCTATCTATCTATCTATCTATCTATCTATCTATCTATAATGACACTACCAGTGACCTAGGTATTAAGATTAACTTTCGATACTGTACTTTAGAGATCATCAAGCAGTTGTCTTTAGGTGCAAGATAGGTGTCATAAAGTAGAGATAGAGATAAAGGTCATATGTGTAACTCAGCAGCTACAAGAATACCTGCAGACGCTGGTCATGGTATGTTCTTGGTTGCATTGATTTTCAAATGCTTTTGGATGAATATGTGAAACCTTACTATTTTTTGACATTTGCTATAGCTGTCTGCAATGTTCCAGGCAATAAGTAACAGAAAAAGTCACCAGAAGCAATATTAAAGAGACTATTTGTCTGTGACTGGCTGACAAGAAAGTTTCAATAAGAAAGCAAATTTTGATAGATTACAAGTGAGTTTCTAGAATGAAAGTGTTTACAAAGAGATTTTGAGACCTTATTTGATCTCAGTAGGAGAGGGGATTATGGTCAAAGAGCTATGTCTGCCATGGGAGTGACCAAGCGTATATGTGGTATTACCCCTCCTAAAATCAGAACTCCAACTGCACTGGACCTGGGAGATGGATGTTTGGCACTAAACGATGATGCATACAATAAAAGAGTTTTGCTGTTCTGTGTAGACCGATATTCCAGATATTTTTCCTTTCTGTAATTATAATACACCAAACTTGCTATTGACCTCTTAAGTGTAACCATAAAACATTTCCTCTCTAATCCATTTATTCATTCATTCATCCTCTCCCTCCCCCAGACACACACACACACACACACACACACACACACACACACACACACAAACTTTCCTAAAATATCAGACAGGACACTCACAAATTCATGTATAAAGTGAACATAATCTAGATGCTCAAAACAGATAAAAGAAAATAAAACAAAATCCCAACACCCTCCATAAGCAGAATTCCTAACATAATTTTATTAAGTGTATACCACCTCTGAGAGACAGAGGAGGAGACTGCTACAAGAGTTTGGTAAAAGTTATACCTGTACATGGACCACCTTCCCCCACACAACTCCATCAGTGAAAACCCTAGCCCAGTGGTAATGGATGTAGGGAGAGGTGAAGAAAGGACTTGAATTATTTTCCTCCCTCCCTTTCATGTTTCCCTGTTCTCAAACCTAACCAAAAGACAGCCTCCAAGATGTAGTCCTTGGAGGCTGGCCTAAAAAGACCAGAGTGGAGACATGGAGGATGGATGGGAATGTGCTGGAAAATAACGCATATATATATGAAAACAGATATTATAAATACATATTTTTTTAAGTTACACTACTATATATCTTTTTTTTAGTCTTTTTGAGACAAGGTCTCTCTGTAGCCCCAGATGCCCTGGAACTCGCTGTGTAGACCAGGCTGGACTTGAACTCACAGAGATCCGTCTCCCCCTGTCTCCCGAGTGCTGGGACTAAAGGCATGCGCCACCACGCCTGGCTACTATATATCTTTTAAGTTACACCACCATTGAATCACAGAATCATGGTCAAAGATGCAGTGTGTTCTTTTCATGATATTAAAGCTCTGACAGATGAGGAATAACTACTTCTCATGAAGTATGTACATTTTATATATTTGTGGACATGCTATATTTCCTAAAATTAGATGAATATTCCATATAAAATATAAACATCTAGGGCTGAAGAGACTGCTCAATGGATAAAATACTTGCTGAATAAGCATGAGGATCTTAATGCAGACCTACAGCACCCACTAAAAGCTCAGAGGGTTAGCATGCACTTGTAATTCTAGTGCTGGGTGGTATGGAGAGAGGTAGATCCCTGGCATTCATTGGCCAACCAGTCTACCAGAATGGAGAGCTCCAGATCCAGTGAAAGATTGTGTCTCAAAAGGAAGGTAAAGAGTGATAGAGGAAGACAGCGTATGCCAAACTCTGATCTCTACATGAAAACATGGATTAAACACATCCTTACACACATGTACACATACATTCATACATCACACACTTACAAAATATATGATAGATAGATGGATGATAGATAGGTAGATAGATAGATATCATCTTGTGTAACATTGAGTAAATGACTTAAAT